GTTAAAAAAGGACAAAGGATAGGTCCAAAAGGATATAGTTAGAAGATGTAAAAAAAGATATGGAGACTTATGACCTCATTGATGGTATGACCTTGAATAGATTAGACTGACGGACCAGGATTCTTACCAATTAGTTGAGAATAGGCTTTGACGATGATAAAAACTTATAAGAAGCTAAGTTTACTAAAAAATCAAATAAATCAAATGCACATACAACAATAAGAGAAAATATATACTTAGACTTTTAATTTGAGTGTCGTTTAGACACGGCAACGACTTTATGGTGTTTGATAAAGCCCTTTTAGGGCAATCTTTTCTTTATCAAAGTTTGTATAGGCCCGAAGGCTCTAAACAATCAAAGTAAAGCGCACTTTTAAATAGTATCGAGAAATGTGGTTTCAATAATAGAAATATTTGTGATAGCTTTAAAATATATTTTTATTTTTAATTATATAATTTAAAGCTTTAGAAATAGTGTAGGATCGAGCATATCTATGAAAACTTAAAAATCTTGAAAATTGACAGTAAAAAAATGTGTTACAAGATGTACTATTTCCAAAATTTGAAATCCATTTTTTTTTTAATATCCATGCATCTTGATGTTGAGATATCAATTTGAGGATATTTGGGTTTCAAAACAAGAAAATTTGTAGATAAGATCTAATTTGATTTTCTTTTTTTTGTCTTTTATGAAGTCCTTCGATTTAAAATTAAATTTATTTTCGCGGACACGCATCCTCCTACTCCTGGGCCAAACTCTTTTACTTGTAGTCGGATCCCAGTAAATTTCATAATAAATATTGGCCAAAAGATATTCTACTCTAATAGGAGTGTACTATCCATATACTCTCTTGGGCAAAATTTATACGGGGAATATCTGCTAGATCCCAAATTTTAGGGATTTAATCTCCTCACAACCAACCTCAAAGAAGAAAATAAAAATAAAAATTTAAAACTCTCACTCTCTATGTTCCTAAAGGAAAAGGCTTCCTAAGATTGACTGGGACCATCCAATTTTTTAAGGTAATAATCCATATGTTCAAGGTCTCAAAATTCAATTTTTTATTGATTCCAAAATTTTAAATAAAAAAATTCCAAGCATTTTGCCCGAGGGAGTGAACATATATGCTTTCGAGAGAGCATAACATACATACTCTGAATATTTTAATGACTACGACTCCACGAGACTAAACAATATTAGACACTTAAAAATGTCAAGTTATCACATTTGATCATAATTTATATGTGAGAATTTAGAAACCCCTAACCTACCCAACACAAGAATATTGTGAGGAAACAATTTTCAATAAAATAAGTAACCATTTATATTCTATTGTAAGGAAACAATTTTCAATAAAATAAGTAAGCATTTCTATTCTATTGTATCATTTTTCTTTTCTAATTCATAGGAAGAATTTCATCCTTGTGGGGTTCAATTATTCATTAGGGATTTTTCATATTGTGGTAGTAGATGTCTAAATCACTTCATGCAATTATTCAACATGTTCCATGAATATGACATCATTGGTATTATTTTCTGCCTTGCGTGTTTAACGTATGGTACTGAACGTTTGCAATAATTTGACTTTTGTCGTTTGTTAAAATATGTTTTTCGGTGCTCCATAAGTCCTAGATTAACAACTCCCACGACCAAATTAAAACATGTGTATCGTAAATGACAAACAGCCTTGCTTACGTTTTACTTTTGTGGGATGAGCATTGCTCAATAAAGGTGTATCGGTTTATATAATGAGTAATGATCTTACGGGGTCTTTTTAAATTGACGTATGTAGGATCTCAAATGATCATCATTTAATTTAATTTATTTTAAAAAAATAAGGACCTACACTCATATGATAATTTTTTTAGATATTTATGTCAAATTTAATAGTGATCATTTAAGGTCTTATACACATAAATGTGGGAGGGTGTCATATGATTATTACTCTTATATATTTTAAAGATCTCTTTGTAGTCCAAAGATTTGATGCCCCCAATGGAGCATATTCTCTGTTTACTTTCTTCATTCGGTAGTATTTTTAGGACCTCAAAATTTAGGAACTTAACATTCTCAACCCATATGGTAAACTCAAAAAAAGAAATTTCAAAATTACATACTCCATGGGCTTGAATAAAATAATGTCTCAAGATTGAATAGAAACCATCTAATTTTTGAAGCGTCGAATCTAAATATTAGATCAAAACACGTCTTGCCCTCGATTATGATTGAATATTTGTGGTATGATCTATGATATGATATTTGGAAGGGCAAATGTTTCCTAGTGGCATCGCTTTTTAAAGACACCTAAATTTCCGTCTGATACCCATTTTCCTTCATAACGGTGCTAAACAAGAAATTGTCAAAGTTGACAAACTGTAATCAATATTTTGGACCTTGATAATTATGGATTTGAAAAAAAAAATATAAACCTTAAGCCTTACAAGTGGCTAATATTGTATACATGTTGGACTGCTCATTTCAAGTGTTTTCAGATTTGCCAAATCTATAATAGTACAGGAACTTTGAATTTCATAATTAATGGTCACCACAAGGTTCCTGACACCTAGACAACAATTTCTAGTAGGTATGTTGCGGTTATCTTTAACCAATGGAAAAGGTTTATATGAGGGTGAGGCCCTAAATGACCAAATTAAGGCACACCTAAAAAATTTACTAGAAGGGGTTGTTTCGATGCTGAAAACCCTAAATTCGATCATCTCAACCTCTAGATGTATGGATGTGAGAAAAAGTACATTTCAAGATTTGAAGACAATCCATCTTATACGTGTTCATATATCAGTTTGATCTACACTATTTTATAATCTTTAAATTTTATAATTAGAGAATTTTTTATTTTTCAACATTGGCAAAGATTTAAATATTTCCACCCCTCATCTATTGTTAGACCATCATAGATTAAAATAAATTTTTGGACCATCATAAATTAAAATAAACTTTTTATCTATGATACAATAAACTATGAAATTATTAAACCAGAAAGAGATGACGCTTTTTTGACAGGTTTTTCAATGCTTGAATTGCAATTTTTAATGAGTTATGGAGGTGAGGCTTTTCTTGTTATGATAGGGCTGCAGTCCTACCGAATCATTTTCCAATAATATTTAGTCCTAATGTATAAAGCATTCATCTTAAAGATGGATACAAATAAGTGGTCCATCTAAAACCAATTGAAACTAACCGTCCAAATGTTTTCTTTAACTTATTTTTTCATATTCATGATCTCCATAATAGAGATTACATGTCGTTAAAAATTAAGTAAAAAAATCTATCTCAAAAACATATTTTTAAGAGATGACTCATTTCTACATGGACTCATATAAACCGTGTCCAATATATGACAGATACGGTTTCCATGCGGCCAACCCATGTATTGTATAAATGCGGACTTGGCAATAAATATATTTTTAAGTATAATTTGATACTAATTTTTTAGAGAATATATAATATCTAACCTATAAACCGTGTCCAGCCCGCATGAAACAATTTTCCATATATAATCCCTATAAATATTGCACAAAAATTTTGATGGACAAAATAATCCTTGAATGTATCGTTTAATACGCTCTCATCTATTACACGATACAATAAAGATATTTTATAAGGAAAAATATCTAGATACCTTCTATTTTTAGATTTTATTTCACAATAGACCTAAAGTTTTAAAAGATATCTTGAAGAATAACAATTGTAGATTTTATTTCTTTTAAGTAAAAAGACTTTTCTAAAAACCCATCTTCTCAAAGTTCTCTCTCCTTTTCTCTACCCGCACCTCTTCTCTCTCTTTCTGCCTTTCACATTTCTAGCCCCGCACTCTCTCCTCCATCTTAAACCCCTCAGAGGTGTTTGGTGGTTAGAAGTTACTAGGAGGAGAGAGGTGTTTGGTGATTAGAAGTTATTGGGACGTGAGAGGTATTTGGATAAACACATAAAGAGAGAGGTGTTTGGATAAACACTAGAGGCAGAGAGGTGTTTAGCTAAACAAGAAGAGAAAGAGAGGGGGGTTCAGATAAACACGAGAAGAGAGACAGAAACACGCGGTAAGAGCGAAAAAGGGAAAGAAAAAAGTTTGGGGTATATAAATGAAGAGAAAAGAGATTGGGTTTAGAAAGAGCATGTCTTTTTCATATTTGTTTAGGTCAAAAAATAAGTCTAAAGTAGCTAGGGGTTGAAAAATATTATTTGACACTATGAGTTTATTAAAAAATAAAATTTAAAAATAAAAGGTATGGAGTTATTTTTCCATTTTATTTTATAATAGGTGTAGTTATCATAAAGTTGTAACCTTAAACAATCCATTTAAAGCGCACTTTCAAAATTTACCATAAAATACAGTTTGGCTATAAATTTTTTTTAAAATTATCTCAAAATCTATTTTTAAATTAATTATAAAATTTTAAACTCAAAAAATAATTAAAATCAAGTAGATATATAAACATATAAAAGTATTAAAAATAGGCAGTCTACATAATACGTTATAAGATGCATCATTTATGGGATTCAAAATCTTATTTTTTTCATAATTATACATCTATAATCAATTAAAAGGTTTTCAACATTAAAAAATAACCTTTACCGATGGATTATTGAAGTGCATATGTAGTTCTACGTTGCAACCTTATATAAACTTATAATAAAACAAGAAAAGCACGATAAAAACGAGTCAATAAATTTTACAGCAATCACGCCCGACCGCCCGATTTGGCAAAACGGCATAAGCAACAAACCAGATTGCGTCACGTGTCAATTTAACCCGTCGTACGATCGCCACGTCCGAGATAAGGAAGTCTTGGACTTCTGAGTGAGCATTTCGAATCGGATAACTTTCCATTGTGTGAAAAGGCTGGCAAGCCTACGGAGGTACCCCACGTGTACGGCTGCAATTACACGATCATGGTCGTATCAGTGCTGGCCATTGTTTGGGCGCCGCATGCCCTAAATTGTGGCGATTCGGCTATAAATCGTGACCGTTTGGGTAGCGCCTCTAACCATTCTTAGGAGCGGTGGATTTGGAGATTGAGAGATATTGTGGTTAGGGCTTAGTGATGTGGATTAGGATTAGGTTTCGGTTTTGCTGGTGATTAGGTTGGTTTAATTAGAGGATCGATTTTTGTGTTGGGGAAGTTTGTTTTTCCTCCCATTTCAGCAGCTGTAGGGGGTTTATTTAAAGGGCGTTCTGTTGCTCATCTTCTTCAACCTAACAGTCATTTAGAGTTTAAAATTCAGAAAAAAAGGAGTTTTAGGGATTCAAAATGTGTGGCATTTTAGCTGTTTTGGGATGCATCGAGGGCTCTCAGGCAAAGCGAGTCCGGGTGTTGGAGCTCTCTCGCAGGTACTCCCTATCGCTACTCTACTGTTACATGGTTACAGGAGTCTATCCATGGCATATATGTTTCACTTGAAAGGACACCACGGGCATGACTGTCACGATCGGATCTAAAAGATCGAATGGAATGATACATAAACAAGTGAACCCAAAATGAGAGCTTCACGAATCCGGTTTCCGAAGCCTCCCCAATCTCTCTATCTTTCTATCATTATGAACACCGTGCAGAAAATAAGAATGGGAGGTACGAGGTTTCGGAGCAAATATGGTTTTGTATAGCGAAAAAATTTATTCATAAAATATATTTTTGGTCGCTTTTGCAAAGCTTATTGATTCCATGGGGTGAAAAGTTTGTAAGGGGAATGTTGCTTTCCCAATAAAATGGAAGGCACTTTTTTACTACAACTTTCTATGGGTTTTTTATTTTCTATTATGATCTTTAGTTCTATAATGGGTTCCAAAGTTTAAGATCCACATGGTCCCACATGTATTTTTTCTATAGTTATAAAACATATGCTTAATGGTGGGAACAAGGTTTTAAAAATCAGTGAGTCTCAACAACCTGGTTCAGATTGGGGATTGGTGGGGCCGTCCCATTCAGCCTGAATATCGAAGATGGTTGTGAGCCGGTACCCCCATATTTTTCATTTTGTTCAATTTTTGGTTGTTTTTTAATTTTTTTTATTTTTTAATGACCGGTTGACTTGGCCAGATTGCCTATACAAATTGTACGATGGAAATAGAGAATCATAAATCTGGGATAAAAGATGAATTTATTTGGGAGGCAATTTCTATAAAGCCTAAGCTTTATGAAAACAAATCAAACCTCTTTTATTTCTCATCTAAAAAATGCTTTGGGCATCAAAAATCTCCACCATGACTCTAAAATCAAATTTCAATTCCTTACCATACAATTTGAAGCTTACGAAATGATATAGATGGATCCATGGTTTAGTTTTTGGGCATGGATCCATGGTTTATTTTTTGAGAAAAATAGATGGTATAGCATTTGCCTTATTTATAAAGATCGAAATCTTATTTTTCTTTTATGAAGTGAAGCTTTACTTATTGCTGTAGCCCTATCAAAACATTTTTTTTACTTATTGGTGTAGCCTTATCAAAACATTTTCTTTTTATTTATAGGTTCATCGACCACCTCCAACATATTGGATTGGTCAAGCCCTCTCATAAGTCATAAATTTTTTCTATCCATGAATTTGAAGAAATTCTGAAAATGTGATTTAGAGCTAAAAAAGCCTTTCAAATCAAATCCCCGTCTTATTTCATGGTAAAATACCTACGGCGTGAAAAAAAAAAGATTTCACTGTATCCTCTCATTTCTTATTTTTTCCATTTATTTACTTTTGATCATAAAAATTAGCCATATCCAATCTTTTTATATCATTTCAAGCAAAAAAGTTCCAAAAATATTTCAAACAAAAACCTTTTAAAACTATTTTAAAAACGTTTCAAAACTTTTTTAACCTACGACCCCATTATATCTTTTAATCCAAAAATGTTGCAAAAATATTTTTTAGTATATTTTTTTATATCTTTAACCCAAAAATATTTTAAAAATATTTTTTTATTATATATTTTTTTATATCTTTTAACCCAAAAATATTTTTTATTATATTTTTTTATATCTTTTAACCTAACAATATTTAAAAAATATTTTTTTGGCCTTTTCAACCCCTCCTCTCAATGCAACGTTGAGGGCTCCCTATCACAATATCTCTATCCTATTGAGTTGAAATGGTATAAAAAAGAATTAATTTTTTTTAAAAATATATTCTTATATGTTATGTTTAACTTTTTTTTATCGCATGCAACTCAAGAATTGAAAATATTACTGGTAAGCAAAAAGTTTTCATCTTTTCTATTTTACATATTACTGTAAAAGGTCTTCATTTTTTTTTTATCTTCGGAGGGATGATCCTATGTATTGGTATTGAATTGAAATATTCAAAGATTAATTATAATCCAGATCCTATATATTACACATTTCAAAATTCTTGTGAATCGATATCAAGCTGAAGGAAGAAATATTCATTGATCAAATCATTCACTCCATAGATTATTTGAAAACATGATTGATCGCACTAACAATGTAATTTGTAGTAAGAGGAAAATCTGATGACTTTATAAATTGAAATATTAGTTCAAAAGGATCTAAATATTACTGTAAAAGGTCTCTATCTTTTTTATTTTACAACCTCTTGGATCTTTTGAACATAAGTTTTGGGCCCAAACAAACATTAAAATGACATTTTATTCAAATTCTATCTCTCTTTAAAACTATCTTTTTCCGCATCTTAGTTAGTGAGTATACCGATCAAAGGGTTTAGTTTGAATTCGAATGCAAGCATACCTACTTATGTGTATAAGAGAGGTGGAGGTTTAAAAGGAGAGATGGAGTTTGAATTTTAGGGAGAGAAATGGAATTTTGAAAAAAAGAGATGAAATTTTCTTATGTGTATGAGAGGATTATGTGTATGAGAGAGGAGGTTTAGAGGGAGATTATGTGTATGAGAGAGATAGAGGTTTAGAGAGAGTAATAGAGTTTAAGTTTCGGGGAGAGAAATGGCATTTTGAAAGAGATATGAGATTGGGGTTTTAAAGATCGGAGTTTTGAGAGAGAGACCATGAAGGGAGAGATATGGAGTTATCGAGAGAGATATAGAGTCATTTCAAAGGTTGTTGAGGTCAATAATATTTTAAATTTTAAGGGTGGAAGATAAAAAAGATATTTTAAATTTTAAGGGTGGAAGATAAAAAAGATAGAGTTTTTTAAGGGTGGAAGATAAAAAAACTCTATCTTTTTTTGTTTATCAGTAATATTTTTAAATAGAAGTTAAAAATAGAAGATAATATGATATTTTTTTAAATTTTAATGGTTAAAAATAAATAAATAAATATAGAAGTTAAAAATGGAAGATAATATGATTTTTTTTTAATTTTTATGTATATTTAAAAGTGAATAGGCGAGAGAGATAAGGATGAAGGGCATACTTAGATATTTTTTTTATGGAATTTGAAAAAAAAATAGGAAGGGGATCCATCTAGAGAATCAGGGTTACGTGTGAAATTTTTTTAAAAAATTTATAAAAAAAATTTTCAATAAAAATAAAATTAATAAAGTATTCTTAAAAGCTTTTATAAGTGTATTTTAATTGTTTTATATCTAAATATTTTTTTTCCGAGTTTAAGAGAGGGGTCTCCAAATTTGGTGTGAAAATGTTCTTGTATAAAAAAAATTAAAAATAAATTCGGTTGGTGGGGTCTCAACCATTCATTCGTATCCGACAAGGTAGGTATATAACTACCGCACATTTAAGAGGCTCATAGATAGCTTGCCTTCCCTTAACTGTGAGTATAACTGTTTATTAGTGAGACAAATACACACACTGATACAAAGAGCAATACAAAAACTAATCCGTCTGATACAAAGACCAATACAAAAACTAATTCTGATACAAACACTAATTTGTAGAGAGAGAGAGAGAGAGAGAGAGAGAGAGAGAGAGAGAGATTTGGGATCTAGAAAGTGAAAGGAAAATTTGGGTTTCGCAGGAGAATGAACGGAGCTGATTATTGCAAACGAACTTCCTTTGCAGGTTGATCTCAGTGAGAGATAGAGAGTTGGGTTTAGAAGAAGAGAGAAGGAAATTGATTATTGGAAATGGGTATTGCAGATTGAAGCACAGGGGACCTGATTGGAGTGGGATATATCAGAAGGCGGGCTTCTACTTGTCTCATCAGAGGCTCGCCATTATCGACCCCGCTTCAGGTGATCAGCCACTCTTCAACGAAGACCGCTCCATCGTTGTCACAGTGAATGGAGAGATTTACAATCATGAACAACTACAGCAACTCCTTACAAATCACCAATTCAGGACAGGAAGCGACTGTGAAGTCATTGCACACCTGGTCTCTCTCTCATTTGTATCTTCAATTTCTTAACTTGGTTTCTTGGGTTTTCATTTTTGGTTTCTAGGTGCAGTTAAATGCTTATTGCGAATGTTTGATGATGTTTTTGCTTCTTCTTTTTGTTACAAATGATAAAAATCACAGTATGAGGAGTATGGGGAGGATTTCGTTGGGTTATTGGATGGGATGTTCTCCTTCGTGCTTCTCGACACACATGACAACAGCTTCATTGTTGCTCGAGACGCCATTGGGATAACCTCTCTCTACATTGGATGGGGATTTGATGGTCAGTCTCTCTTTCTCTCACAGTTTCTCTCTCTCTAGGATTCTAATTCTCCTTTGTTTAGTTTTACTCTTGTTGTCCCACTCTAGGATTCCTTTTCTCATCTGTTTGTATTCCCCTTTCACTTACTCTCTGTCAATATTGCTTATTGTGATGTGTATTGAGGTTTGATATGCACCCATTTCTCTTAATCTCTCTGTTCACTCAATGTTTAGCGACAGTGAGAAAAATTCATTTGTTTTAATGGGGTTTTGTTGTTTTTGGTTTTTTTTCCATCCCCCAAATGTATAGGCTCTGTTTGGGTCTCATCAGAATTGAAGGGACTTCATGATGAGTGTGAACATTTTGAAAGCTTTCCTCCTGGCAATTTATACTCAAGCAAATCAGGTACTCTCTCTCTCTCTCTCTCTCTCTCTCAGATGTATTTGTTTTTGGGTATCTGAGTTTGTGCTTAACTTGATTGCAGGAGGCTTTAAGAGATGGTACAACCCACCATGGTACAATGAAGGCATCCCCTCCACTCCATATGATCCCTTGGTGTTGAGAAAGGCATTTGAAAATGTAAGAGTTGCATCAGACCTTAGTTTATTCTCTGCAATTGCAAAACAAGATCTTCTATGTTATGTCTACGAAGTTTAAGAACCTTCACACAACACTGAAATATTTCCTTGAGTAGCTTACTGCCAAATAAATGAATCTTTCCTTCAATAACATTAATTGGAGAAGTGGATTTTATAGTATCGTCAGTTCTATCCTGCAAAACCTATCTTGTCTATTGAAAAACTTGATTTTTTCCTCTCATAAAGAAGCACGCAGAAATTGGAAATTTTATCCATAAATCAATTCTTGCCTTAAAGAACCATCTTTTCTTATAAAAAAAATTGTCCATTATCCGATACTGATTACATATTCCTTTCTTAATGTTAGTGAGAAGGCATAAAGCAGAACTCCAATAATTAAACAAGAAAATTTTCGCCTTAGAGACCCATATTAGTTACTGGACAAACTTGAATCTTTATAATTTTTCTTATACTTTATCGTGTACTTTATCATGATTTTAATTTTGGCTTCTATCAGATAAATGATTTGTTCTGTCTTATGAGAACTGCAGGCAGTGATAAAGAGGCTTATGACTGATGTGCCTTTTGGAGTTCTTTTATCTGGAGGCCTCGATTCATCTCTGGTTGCAGCTGTTGTCGCTCGCTCCTTCTTGAGTAGCAAGGTGTCTAAGCATTGGGGACCACAACTTCATTCATTCTGTATTGGCCTGGAGGTTAGCCCTTTTCTTTTATTGCTGCATGTCCTGCTTGTTACAAGCATGGTAATAAATATTAATATTTTTGGGAGTTTATTGTTCAATGTAATTTTCTGGAAATTTTGGGAAGTTCTTGTTTTTATCTCTTCTAATTCTTGCAAAAGTTTTGTGGGAGGGAGAACTATAGATGAAATTTTTTTACCAAGGATTCTGAAAATGTGCAAAATTCAAGAAGACAATGATGTTTCCCTGCATTTTTGAAATTTAAGTTACTACGAAAATATATATATTTTTCTTAACAAAAATCAGAGAGGCAAAGAGGAGAGGTGGATTAAGTAAAATATCTTTTCTTTATCTTATTTAAATTGTGTTTTATTTTGCCAGAATTACAGAAAAAATTATGGTCACTGTGGCTAAAAGAATGGACTGAATTGCATGTTAGAAAGCTTGTGACTTTTGTTTTCTTCTTTCCATCAGGGTTCCCCTGATTTGAAGGCTGGTAGGGAGGTTGCAGACTATCTTGGTACCATTCACCATGAATTTCAATTCACTGTTCAGGTATTTCATTGCAAAGACAAACCAAAAATGATAGTTTTGTGAATTTGATTAATGGCACTTACTAACATAGATTGCATGCAACGTTATGTAATCATTTATAAAATGGTTACTCGCACGGGAAATCAGTATTTTATAGGTGTTGATAATCTCTTCATACATAGAATGCTTGTGTACAAGTATTTATGGATTTTTGGGTGATTAGGATGGAATTGATGCAATTGAGGATGTGATTTATCACATTGAAACGTATGACGTTACCACAATCAGGGCAAGCACACCCATGTTTCTCATGTCACGAAAGATTAAGTCATTGGGTGTAAAGATGGTCCTCTCTGGTGAGGGCTCGGACGAGATTTTTGGAGGTTATTTGTATTTTCACAAGGCCCCGAACAAGGAAGAGTTACACCGTGAAACTTGTCGCAAGGTAATACTGTTAGGAGCCAACTCTTGAAAGCTATGTTGATTTGCAGGAAAAGAACATGGAAAGCCAAAGAATTGCAGCGGTCCATTTTGGGACCCTGTAAACAAAAAAAGAAACCCTGATCCACATTAGTCACTGGGTTCCCTGCAAACCACATCCTCCCCCCCCACAAAAAAAATAATAATAATAATAAACATTCACACGTCCATGTATGTATGGCACATGTTGTTTGATCTTCTATTGTGACATGCATGGCTGCAGATAAAGGCCCTTCACCAATATGACTGTTTAAGGGCCAACAAGTCCTCTTCAGCATGGGGATTAGAAGTTCGTGTGCCTTTCTTGGACAAGGAGTTCATTAATGTTGCCATGGACATCGACCCTGAGTGGAAAATGGTGAGTCTGGAATACTGCGATCTTCTTCTACCCATGATAATCATCACTTTTAGTATCGATTTGGCTCTAGAATGTAGTCATTTGGTTTACATGATGTTATGGTCATATCATTCACAAATTTTTATGTGCTTTCAAATTTCGTTAGATAAAACCTGACCAAGGGCGAATTGAAAAGTGGGTTTTGAGGAAGGCCTTTGACGATGAGGAGAACCCCTACCTGCCAAAGGTTTGATAGTCCTCTTCTTGGATATTTATTTCCTAAGTTCTCAACATCTTTCCCCTACCTGCCAAAGGTTTGATAGTCCTCTTCTTGGATATTTATTTCCGAAGTACTCAACATCTTTATACTCGCCATTAATGGATTTGTGTCGAAATGTGGGAGGGTCAATCTGAGTAAAGTTTCTTTGTTTTCTTTTATAGTTTATTTAGTACTTAGGAGAGAAACTGCCCAATTTACATATCTTGGTACAATAGGCTCATGGAGACAATTCATCCTTTGTGCAGCACATCTTGTACCGGCAGAAGGAGCAGTTTAGTGATGGTGTTGGATACAGTTGGATTGATGGTCTTAAAGAACATGCTGCAACTCATGTACTTCTCTCTCTCTCTCTCTCTCTCTCTCTCTCTCTACTACTAACTAAACTAAACTAAACTAACTAACTAACTAACTACTACTACTACTACTACTACGTACTACTACGTACGTACGTACGTAGTACGTAGTACGTAGTACGTAGTACGTACGTACGTACGTAACGTACGT